ATAATTCCAGCCTCAAACCTTCCTTTCGGAATGCTGGAGCAGATCCACTGGGAACCGTCATTCACAGGCAACCGACACAGTACAGATGGACAACATGCATTGGCATATTTTTAATGATTGCACGTATCCAAAGGAAATTTAAATAACTTTACCTACCACCCAAAATAAAACAAAAGTGGCCCATTTTTATTTTGCATAATTGCAAAAAATATTTTTGGGATTTTTCATTAACTGCGTATTTTTATTTATGGGGCTTATTTGAAAAGCATTATTCCAAACTTTTGCGTAGATGTGGGCTGAAGCAAGACATTTTCTTTGAAAATAACTTCTTATGAAGAGAAAGTTATGTAGTGCTGCGCGAAAAAACGGCGAATTAGGCCAACAAAAACTCTTAATACAAAGCCCCGGTAACATAGAAGTCGATAAATACAGATGCTAAATTTGATAAAAAAAACTAACACGTTAAATAGCCAGAATTCAAGTTTTGCGGGGCGTTGATACCCAAAAATACATTGATGGCATGGACATTGTCTGTCAATCTGTCAACAACTCTAGTGGCTAAACCGTTCAGCCGATTTCCTCTAAAAACTAATATTCTCCGATCGATCTGCCGGATGCCGCGGCTATTTGGACGGATAGACAGACATACAGATAGACAGACGAGCGGGTAGACGAATAGACAGACGAGCGGGTAGACGAATAGACAGTCAGGCAGACGGATAGACGTATATACAGTCAGACAGACCGACGGACAGACAACGGCCGGGCAGACAACGGCCGGGCAGTTAACGGCCGGGCAGACAACGGCCGGGCAGAGAGACAACGGCCGGTCGGACTGACATTTTGCCGTCAGTCTATTTTTCGGTATCAACGGCTCACAAAAATGGCTTCTGGGTACACCATAATAGGGATTTCCCTCTTTTAATTTAGCAACTGAATTTATCCACTTTTTCGTTTCTAGAGCCCTGTAAGAAGAGTTTTTTTGCCAAAAATTCTCCGTTTTTTCGCGCAGCATTACATAACTTTCTCTATACCCTGGTAGCGGTAGCAAGGAACTAAAATTGCGTACAAGAAATTAAAACGATCACAAAAGAGTTAAAAGGTATAATTGCAGCTGTTTTCTCAGAATAAATTTCTGATAAAAAAAATCGAAAATACATACAAATTTCAGCAACTAATTGACCCTGCAAATGTCATTTGCCACTAATAAAAATCTTCTCAATTCTGTAATTAGTCAAATTATTGGAAAGGGAGACTTTTCCCCTCATGAATCCTCTCTCACTGTTGACTAGCTCTTGATTAAGAAGTTTCTTTTCGGAAATTTACTGAGTTTTCTTGCTATATAATTTTTTATGTTAAAATAGCATTCCCTTAATTTTGAAGACCTTTTTCGGACATGACTATACTTCTGTTATCAACAATATCAACTATCGTCGTCAAAGCATGGCTAATTCCTCCTATTTGTAACGGTTTTGTAGAATAATTATTCTATATTGCAATTATGAATCTTCTAATATTTCAGTTATCTTATAGAACTTTTTCCATGAAACTGCTTAAAACACATCATACTATGACTACTATAAAAAATAAATAGAAAGAGGGTTGTCAGTGTATCACGTACATGTAGACCTCTTCCTGTCTGTTGAGGCCGATTGAGATGTCATTTCGACGGGATTTCGTCGGCTGATGGGGAACTGACAGCGTTTTCGTAAACTTGTTTACATTAATATTATTATCATTATTATTACTATTATTATTACTATTATTATTACTATTAGTATTATTAATATTATTATTATTAATATTATTATTATTATTATTATTATTATTATTATTATTATTATTATTATTTTGGTACCTCATCACCTTCCAGGATAAAAGTGGAAGGTGACATTATTTTCGAAGAATATTTTCATTGCTATTATTTTTAAAACACAACTCCCTTTTAATTTTCCAGAATTAGGTCAGGCATATTTCTTTTTAAAATTGTTTGGTTAAAGTTGGTTCCATTCAATTGAATCATTTATTTATTTAATTAATTCTGCTTATCTTGATAATTTTATATTTCACCTTTTTCTGCTAATAATCTATAAAGCTGAACATGAAATTTGGTCCCTCTTCTAGTGCTTTCTTTGCTTTCCATTTTGATATAGGAGCGAATCTGGAAGATTTTTAAAAAGGCAGAAGGAACAACTTCATAGCAGCGCGGCGGGAGCGGCCCCTTTACGTGCTTTCCTGCTCAAACAGTCCTTTTCCTTACCTGGGGAGGGGGGTCCGCAATTATATTTAAAATTAGAATGTACGTTTCGCGAGAAAAGATGAAGGTATTATATGGTCCCCAATTTACATACGGTTCCAAGGTTGCTACAGGACGATCAACGGAAAACAACTGGTGAGAGAGCAATCCGTAATTTTAAACTATCACGAAACGACTACACAGAAGAACACATTATCTATACACCAGCTACAAAGATTTATATTATAATTCTTATTAACGTAAATTAAACGATACTCAATTATGTCCAACAACGTACAGTAACAATAAGCACAAACTTTTTCCCAATTCTCAACACTACTCATTTTATGGCTTTGCATTTACATTACTTTAAGAAACGAATAATTTAACGATGAACGTTCTTCTAGATTACGTGGCTTCGATATTAAATTTGTAAGGAAATATAGTATAGAGCACACTTTTTGGTTTTAATGATGTTTAATACACTTCACTGTGTTTCATGTCTAATTCTGTTATTTATTCTGAATATACCAAATGCTTCTTAATGTTGCAATTCATGTCCCAAGAAGTTTCTTCGATTCCACAAAGTAGAATATAAAACCTTCACTGTACTTAGAAGTTTCAAATGTCTCTTCAAACGGATAACGCAACACATTTTTAAACCATGTCGTCATGAATTATTGCGCCACTGAATCTTTCATACAAAAACCAAGGAAATTATTTTCTGCGTCTAGCAAACGTCTTGCAGTAGCAACATTTCCTACCATGACTCGGTTGAAAAACGTACACCTAATATTGAGGTAAGTTTTATTAACATTTGCCGATGAAAGCTTGCTTTGGTTTTCAATTACACCTGGTCCCAGCCAGAAGAATCGGATTTTTACTAAGCTGAACTACGAGCAAAGCAACGGTGAGATTCTCCTAAAAACTTTGAAGTGACCCACTAAAATCTTACAAAACACACATGTATTAACTATTTATCTTCTGTCTTCCTCTATATACATAAAATTGGACTGTCTGATAATGATGTAAAAAATCTTGCCTTTTAATAACTAGAACGTAAGTGGTAACACCAGCAGTCGTCTGGAAAAATTCTAGTATATATATATATATATATATATATATATATATATATATATATATATATATATATATATATACTAGGCACGTCCAGAAAGTAAGATACGTTTCAATTTATCACCGCTGCAGCGCTGCGATCGCATTTCCGCACATGCGCGGCAGACGTTCTGTATCAAGGAGAAGAAACATACGCCATTTGGAGATCGCTGTCAGTTACTTTGTCGCTTTGTTGTGCTTGTTTACAATGTCGGTGTTGATTGAAAATCCCGCCGATTGTGAAATCAGATCTGTGATTCGTTTTCTAAATGCGAGGAACGTGAAACCAAGTGAAATTTATCGGCAAATTTGCGATGTTTTCGGACCAAATGCGATTAGTGATTCAAGTAGTTTAGGGGTGGGATATTAAAGTAATAATATAATGTGGCGTATTTATTTTCGTTTTTTAATACTTACGTTACGAAATAATGTATTTCAAGTGCACTTGTTAGAATTGTTTTATTACTGCAACATGTTCTGTCCTGATCTGTGTGGTGTCTTTGAATGCATATGAAAATATTGCAATGCGTGTCACTCCTATTTCAGCATGTAGATTTTCTAACGGTAATATGAACAACTCTTGCGGCTGAAAATGAATCTATTTTGGGATGTACATTTTAAATTGTTTGTAGTTAGAAGTTGTGATTAGGGAAGAATGTTTTCCGGAATTTTTTTTTTTTTCAAAACTACAACTATGACATGATTTTCTTACACTACTCGAGTTATCTTTGAAAACTCAATCATGTAAGAAGATATTTCGTAAACCTTTATACAAAGTTTTAGAAAGGGATGATGAGAATTGTATTATGAAGGAACATATAGACAATTTTGTATATTTTTTGTGAAAATAGAAAACAAAATTGTGCACTCTCGTGCTTTTTAGCTAGTTGTGTGAGAAAACAATGTTCTTTCTATTAAAATTTAAAATATTGGTTACCCTTCCATTAACATTCATCGGCTTTAATATTAACACTAAGCTGTTTGTACGTTGTTCTAATAAACTAGGTCTTTCTTTAGAAACCATTTCATGAATCTTTAAGTACTAGATACATAAAATGCGACACATGAAACAAACTGAACAATTTGGTAAGCCACCTAGTTTTCTTATTACCAACTCTAAAAAGTAAGACCTTCAAATAAGATCGTGTACATTTTTTAAAGAGTAGTCCGCGTACTTTTTGCGTGAAGTACAGGAAATGTACAACTTTTTGTCGCAAACGCTTACAATCCCCCCCCCCCGCGATAGAGTAAAGGAGACTTAAAAAGTGGCGCAAGTCTCATTTTCGTTAGACTCTCTGAATTTTCGTAAATTTCGAAAGTTTGAAATAAAGCGCGAAAGTATGTACAGCGCAATTTCTTATCTATTAGGAGACCAAAAAATAGAGAAAATGTGACAAATAGGATAGGTAGCAGCTGGGAGGATGGCGGGAACAGAAACAGAAAAGCTAGCACACGCGATAGATTTTAGGAGACTAAATAATAAGAGAAAGCCTGCGCCATTGTGTAGCACCTCTAGTTACAATACAGTACCTGTGAGTAGAGAAAATCAAAACTCTACACGTGCGATCACCCCGTCGTTCGCTTATTTTCACGTGCTGCCAACCAGGTGCTTGCTGCTGTGCGTGGGCCTGTCGTCATCATGGGCCCGGCAAGAGTCGACTGTGGATTTGCCGCTGTTCGGCCCGCCCGGCAAGCCATTACGCCGCGGGCGTGTCGCCCTGGAGGAGCTGCCCTCGGGCGAAGACGCCCACGAAATCGCCGCCGCCGCGCAACTGGCCGCCCTGCTTCGCTGCCCGTTCTTTCGCCCTCGCCGCCAGGCCACGCTACTGTTCCACCATCGGACTGACAAGACCGCACTTCACAGCCTCCCGCGCGAGCTGCACCGCGCGGGCGTTCCCGTTGTCTACTTGAAAGGGTTGGCCGTCCTCTCCGTGCAGGTCTTTTCACGCGGATCCATGCATCTTTTCGCCCTCCCGACCAGGAACAACGGCCAGCAAAGCCGCAGCATTTGGAGGGCAATCTCCATGCAAATGGCTGTCAATATAACGGGCACCTTCGTGGTCATCCTTCTGGGCGAGCAACGAGCTTCAAGAAACGAAGTAATATCACATTTCGGTTCATTCGCAATGGAAATCGGCACCGGACAATTGATTCTCTTAGATCCACGGCCGGAGCAAGGTCGGAAGTCGTTTATCTACACAATTAGTCCACATGGTTTTTTTGGACACACTACGTCGAAGTTTTGTGAAAATGCTGCAGACAGTAATTCCGAGATACTGCACCCTCTAGTAAAACCTTTCTATTACATAGATTTTCAATTGACCTCATATATGTTTGGTACTTGGACAGATAGAAAAGGACGTTACCACATAGATGGGCCCGATTGCAAAATGTATGACATTATTGATAAAAGAAAACCCGAAGGCGAAAAAATCCTCGAACATGAACAAGATGCGTGCATTGCTGTAGTGGATTCCGGAATCGTTGGAAACACTCTGAAATGGGACCAATCAGCCAGCGTCGCGCAAGAGGACCTCTACATGTTTATAAGGAAAGCCCCACGTATACCGTTCACTCTGGTTGTCGTCCTTCCTTTCGAAAGCAGTTTGTGGGCCACCGTAGGCGCCTCTGTTTGCATCTTGGCCTTCGCCTGGTTCGTTCTATGCTCCGCCACGCATTCGCTAGCTCCTCGTGCTCGCGCCGCTGCCGCTCGGCCGTACGCTCGACCCTTCTCTAGCGGGGCAGCGGTCGCAGCTGCTCTGGACGTCGTGCAGATGCTCGTCCCAGGCGAGAGTGCGTTTCCAAAGCTCAGAGGTCCGGAACGCGTCGCGGCGGTGAGTGTCATCACCCTCGGAATGCTGCTTTGCAATGCCTACAGCGGACTGCTGCTGGGGTTCCTGACGATTCCTGTTCACTACCCAGACGCTGACACCGTTAATGATGCTACAGATGCAGTAGATGCGATATACCTCTCCAAAGATGTTTATAACATTATCTATGGTAAAGGGGGAAACATTAGCGAAACATTTGCCAAGACAGTATTCTTTCTTCATTACATCGATGAATTTGAAACAATGTTTGAAGCCATTATAGGTGGAAACCGAAGTGCAGTAGTGACATCTCAACTTACGTTTCTTTCACTAGTCGGCGGTATTGAGAACAAACGAAATATACATGTGGTAAAGGAATGTCTGTATACCCCAGTTCATCACACGTACAAAGTAAAAAGAAACCATTATTTCACTGAAAGGTTCAAAAATATCGTCCAGCGTGTGGTGCAAGGAGGATTGTATGGATACTGGTTGGGCGCGCAGCAGCATAAGCGAAATATCGACAACCAAATGCTGATAGAACTAGAGTCGGGCCCGGAGAAGCTGGGAGCCAAACAACTCGCCGGGCCGTTCCTTGTGCTGGCGGCCGGGCTGGCGGTGGCCGTGCTGGCGTTCCTGTGGGAGCGGGCGGTCCGGCGCGATCCGACCGTCATCTGCGCGCGGGTGCTGCGCCTGGTGGGCGCGCAGGCCTCGGCCGCCGCGCGGCGCTGCGCTCGCTTTTGGCGGCTGCGCGGGAAGATCCGCGCGACGCCGACCTTTAGCTTCGAACGTTTTCTGCTCGGCGCGATTCTCACTTCCTTTGCACAACCGAGGATAGGTCGATTCACGAATGCAGAGGCGGCTCTTGACTGACAATGAGCTTGAGCTGCGATAACAATGCGATGCATGATGCGTAATTAATTATTCGATAAACGTTGGTAAGGACTTTACGTCGGATTTGAATATAACAGCTGCGATTTCCGTTCTCTCCTGCGGAGATTTCGAACTCTGCCAGTTTCAAAAGCTACAATTTCTGCAGCACGCATGTCATCGAATGTGTACTTATACATGATGAGAGAACGTGGGCAAATATTCAGTCCTAACGCATGCGTGAACTGAGCTGTAGATTTACAGAGCCGCCGGTAAGGTAGATGTGCACATCAACGCCTGCGACTGAATGGGAAGCAGATGTGTCACAATAAGTCTCCAATAGTCACAAGTTAGGTCACTGAAGCATATCGCCCATAGTTCGAATTCTGCGTAAATTAAATCCGTTATCTATAAATATTATAGTATTTGATATTTGTTGTAAAATTATTTCATTTTGAAAACATTGTTTCCTAATGTCATTTTCTATGTAAAGGAGCTTTGTTGTTACTCTATAGTAACGAAAGGTGTCTAATGACTTTTAGATAAATATGTTAAGCGCTTCGAAGTATGTTTTTGTCCACGAGTGCATCCAAGAGTTCATTTTTCTTATGAAGTATTTTAGCAAATACTTGATAATAAAGATGGTGTGGTGCGTCAAGCATTGATAACGAGAGAATTGCACTGGACAACTCAACAAATAGAAGTCCATTATTATTATTATTATTATCATTATTATTATTATTATTATTATTATTATTATTATTATTATTATTATTATTATACTTAATACATACAAATATTTCGGAAAATCAGCCGTCCTACTGGCAGAGGGGAATGGGGCAGGAGCGTATATAAAGTACACATCGCCTACACTACGGCTGTACGATTATATTCGAATCGCGCGGAGGTATATAAGTTTTCAATTATTTTTTCATGCGGGGGCGTTCCGATCTCGTTATACCTTCTACTAAAATATCTCGCCATGGCCGATACCTGAGAGTGTAATCTGTTGTGTAATCTGTTGACGTAGTTAAACAGCTTATTTACATTGGTACAAGTATCTACACGACACAAAGAGCTACCACGGACGCAGGTGAAGGAGCGAGATGGTTTTAAATGTACATGATGAGGATGGTGTAGTGTTTGAGAAGCGTGATAGTGAGCAGCACGAGGGAACTTTTCACTGATTAATGTTACCATGACAGCTGTAGTCACAGCGGGAAGTCATGGTAGTCCCTTAGGCGCCGATAGATTGCATTCTTATCACCACTAGTTTCATATTACCGTTTCTCCTAGTTGCTCGTTTCAGTTTTTATCCACTTTGGTTAGGTAAAGTAAAACATTATGTCATTAATCTGTTTCTTAATGAAGTACTTTACCGCCCTAGTGTGGTAATGCACTTCATTACTGCATGAGTGCGGTAAAGTAATTGCGTACTTTGCCTCCCTTCTTTTGAAAACATTTTGAACTTCTTTGCCTTGTATCCTACATTTTTACCCTTTAAAACGCTAATAACTGAGTAACCGTACTGATATCAATGTGTCCTTGGCTGTCCGGTGTATAATACCGGACGCGCAGCACCGCGGTGTCACTGCCCTGAGGAAGCCTGCGTCATGACAGGCGAAACGTCGGCCTCTGAGCCAACGACGCGGCGCGGCGCCACCCGGTCAGCCGAGAAGACATGGACTCGAGCAGTGGAAGCTAATTTTTACATTTAATATTAATTTTGTCGTTAAGTGATATTGTACTCATTAACATATACTAGTGGTGCCAAAGACTTCTTGATTTCTCCTTCTCTCACTTGCCAGAAAAGTAAGCAATCAAAACTTTTTCTGATATGGAATTAACGATTCTTTTCCCGACACTAATCATTAAAAATTAAATACTCATGCTCATATTTCTCTCTTGTTTTGTTGGGTAACAATGTTTCTAAGCACCAGTTGCTGCTATTTCTACTTCAAAATCAGAACTATATTCATTCATGTCGAAAAGTATACACCAAGTGTGTTACAATTGATTTCCTTGTTGAGAAGAGTGTCACCACTTATGGGAGAAAAACTGTGAATACTAATTAAAGGCGAAGACAGAAATTTCAAATTAAATCTAAGATTTTTTTACAAAGTGGATAAAATAGTATACGATATTCGTGTCGTAACATCTCATTACAATATTTAATTGGTTTCCAAACTCGTCCTAACCTCGTCCTCTTTGTTTGGCAATTTTCCATCTCGTATTTTAATCAGATGCTTTACAACACGTACATCGTAAATAACTATTATCTGTTTCACCGTATTTTATGGAAAAAATTCTCGTTTTAATCATAAAATAGAGTCGATTTTTAAATGGACAGTGGAGGCGGTGAGCGCGATAAAAAAAAAATAAGTACACAGATGACTGAGAAAACTTTCAGCGCTTTAGCTCGCATAACCTTTCATTACAGTACATCAAATGTATGATTATAAAACAGCAAATTTTCTCAGAAAATGGAACGTAGAAGTAAATATTCCGATATAATTTACAAAATTCCCTGACAACTTCCTGATTCTTCCGAACCATACAATACAACTTTCCTAATTTTTTCAAGATTTATTAAAGCATGAAGTAAAATATAAAAAGCCCATATTAACGGAATTTTAAAGAGAATCATTACCTTTATAGTAGAAGAACTCAATCAACGTGTACAAAAACAAGTTGAAGAGCGAACGAACAAAAAATAGATTACGGTTGTTTTATTATTTTCTTCAATTGGATTAAAATACCATCGTGCGTAACAAAACTCTCGTTTCGTTGTGAACGCTCCATTTCATGAGTGTAATCGGTGCCTAACAAGCGTGGTGGCACACATGCCTATCGCGGATGGTCGGCCTAGAGAATGCACTCATCTGTTGAGGAAGCTCTGCAGGAGACGGGATAATTAGTATTAATATTCTATTTAATTTATAGTTAAAGTAAAAATTACAAGCAAAATCAATGCAATGTAAAAACTGTGAGTGAATGACTGAATTAATAAGGCAAATTGTATGTTAGAACCAAGATGTGCAAGATACGTTGATAATCATCACTACGCAAAATGTAACAAACTCCTAAATGTTTAAATTTTCATAAAAACCCAAAAGTACTAACCCTTTTGATTCTTCAAAATTCTCCTCAGCAAATAGGTTTGTTCATCTAATTCTCAACCCAAATCAAATTCTCAAAATGTAGACTTTTCAAATACTCCTCCAACACAAATAATAGAATGAACTTTTCAAATTGCCAACTCTACCATTGGAATCACAAAATATTCTCATGAATAACTACACAATTACATCACCTCAGCTAATTACAATTTCTTAATTCCAATTACGTCTCAAGTAATAAACATATTAGTTTCACTAATACAAAAATTAATACAACAAATATTGCCATCAATAAAAAATAATGGACAACAATTCTAAAATTTGGAATGCCAATGATTATTCAGACAAATTTCAGAATTTAAACATTTTCATGATATAAAGGTAGACATTGCTTGTGCAACAGAAACACATCTTAACAATGATTTAAAGATTAATACACCAAGATATAAAATTTATAGAGACAGTGAATGACAAAATTTATAGAGACTCTGAAGACAATTTCTGACTATAAACCCCAAACAAACTACTTCCAACTAACATTCTAAAAACTATACTTACCAACAATGAGAAAATAAATTTAATGGGTGATCTCAATGCAAAGCACAGAGCATGAGGATTTAGAACTACCACCCCTCAAGGAAAAGTACTGTTTAACATTTCCACAACCCAGTGTTGTAAAATTCATGCTCCTTGTTCAACTCACTCATTATCCTTATAATACAAACGACTTAGTAATACATTTTGAAGGAATATTCGCTTAAACCTCACCTTTAAATTCTTCATTTTCTAATAACATTGCTGAAGAACTAAACAAGCATTTTTATAGTGCCAGAAAAAATAAAATGTAACTCACCATCGAAAATAAAGTATCTTATTAAGAAACTTAACACTAAAAACTCCCAGGAATCAATAAAATCTCTAATGTTATATTAAAAAATTACCACCAAAAGCAATAAGCTCATTCACTTCAATATACATTGGCTTATGAATGAACTACTTTCCTAAATCCTCGAAAACTGCATTAATAGTACCCATTCCCAAAACAATACATATCAAACTAAAACTGATAATTCTTTACCAAAAAGCCTCCTTCCTACTTTATCTAACATTTTTGAAAAGCAATATTTGTAATCAATTTAGCAGATACAATTATAGGTAGATAAAGGGAAAAGCAATTTACTCCCACTTCACGGAAAATATTGTAAATTGCTATTATAGGACGCATCTTTTCATTAATACAGAGGAATTAAAGATGTACTTTTTCCTGCGATACTGGTCTTTGGAGAAATGACATTGCAGAATTTTTCACAAAATTATTGGTAATGGTTGTGAAATATGTAAACCAGTCTATTCGATTCAAAACACGCGAGTTCTCGTGCAAACAGAAAGGAGCGACTCAGACGGAGTTATCTGTCATTTGTGAACAAAAGGAGACAAGTGAATGGATTACTGGACCCGTTCCGCCCAAGGTGAATGTCAGCAAGGAAGACAGTAAAAGTTTCTAGAGACAAGGCAATTGCCTGCTTTCACAAGACGATTCAGCGGCTGTGTTGTCGTATCTCTGTTACCTACAATTCGTGAAAGTAACTTAAAAAATGTCATGATCAGACGTCTCACACAAATTTAAATTATGATGACTACATTATTATCACCACGAAGAGTTTGAACGCAAGCCCTATGCTATTTGTAGAATGAGGTCAGAGTTTGAACGACCCAGCGCGTATACAGTTACCCTCCACGTGCCTTTCGCATACCCCGCAGTGAAGCAAAAATATACGTTTTCCGATATTGTTTTCGTTGGCTCACACCCTCAGGCACACTAGAGTTTCGGAACAAAAATGGATTCTGCTTGGGATTATAAACAACTCAAATAGTAATTGGCAACTTTAACATTACAGCCAGTGAAAGTCACGGTGAGCCATGTCAATAAATAAGCAAAACATATTTGATATTTTATGGAATAGTGTGACTAGAATTTGAACTAAACACATGCTTTCTGTCGATGTTTGAAGTGCTCTTCTTACAATATTTTTGTTAATCAAACAATAGTGTAAATCACTGTAAAATTTGTTTTGTCTTTGGAAATACAAAGTTTAAAAATATGTAGGTTTGTGTGTATTTGAATGTGTTTTTTGAAACCTTTCATTTCCAACTTTTCCCAACCGTTCCGATGTACAAATTTACTATAATTTATTAATGTTTTACAGTTTACTATTGTAACATATAAAATAAAATGTGCTACTGAAGAGTTCTGTGTGAAAATTAGGAATATATTCTTAACAGTATTCAAAAGCAAGAAACCCCACATCTGCACGAAAATTTTAGAATTTTCTGAATGTGGAAAAATGATGTCCGTCCAACTGATAAAAAAAACTCTTAAACAGCAACAGTCTAACTTAACTCCTACCTAACTATCAAAAGTTCATTTTTACAATCCTTTTACCATTTTGCCCTTACGTACGTAAAAGAGAAAGTATTGTAATCGTGCGCCAGAAAGCGGCAAATATTCGGCAAAAAAACTATTATCGCGCCTTGATAAACAAAACGTGGATAGATGTTATTCCAATGTAAATTACTTTCTTTAATACATTGTGTAGCCAGAATCCAGTTTCGGCAAAACGTGTTTGTCCCTCTCGACGTTTGTGGTCACCGCTACTGCATAAATCGTTTGGCCGATTTTCTCCATAATTGAGATCTCCTTATCGACTTAAATAAACTCGAAACCCTCTGGTTTGAAACTGATATTTTAATTTTTGAGGATACTTTACATGAAGCATCAACTTCATTTTCAAAGTTTTTTCAAATATGGACCCAATTTATTTCCATTACACTTTGTCCTCGGGTAACGTAGAGAATACTTAAAAGAATGGAGCAGGTCTCATTTGCGTTCATTGATCAACGATTTTTCGAAAATTGTAATAGTTAGAATTTTCCCGGAGTCTTCATACAACTACAATATTGAAGGTAGATATTTTTTTCTAAATGAAATATATTCTTGAAATGCGTCTGAAAATGAGATTTTTTTAATTGGAAAAATTAACATTCCAAAACTACAATACTGAAATAGGTATTTTCAACAAAATCTATTCAAAAAATTAGATCTTTAAAGAGGGTTGTGTACCATTAAAAAAAGTAGTTTTTGCGTAATTCATGCTTGAAATTTATGCAATTTATAAAGAAAACTTTTTCTCAAAAACCGCTACCAAATTTTTCGTCAATATTTTTTTTCTACGGATGGAACAAGGTACGCGTAAAGGAATGGCGCAGGTCTCATTTTCGTTGAACTCTTTCAAGTTCCGAAAATAGCAAATGTAAAAATAATGCGAGAAAGTAAGTGCTGTTGTTGCACTAGTTTTCTTTGTTTTAAGGAATATTACTTTTTAAATGAAACAAAAATAATTTTAGGTACAAACTTTCAATTAATTATTTTTCATTATTTTAAATATCTTGATTTAACCTTCTCATTATCTGATGCACACCCCGCCACCCTCTGGTGGGAAACGGATTATATTCTGTGAACGATACGTGAAATAATTTGTCTGAGGTGAAGCAGATAGGGCGTTCGCATGGGATTTAGTCTGAACACTCCTTGTGAAACTTATATTTTCAACCTATAGTTTAATGCAAAAGTTAAGTCAAAACAATAATTACAAGAAACTAGGCCACGGGAGCTGACACGATTTAGACGATTGGGACATACTTTAAAAAGTTCTACAAGAGCGCGTACGTTCGCATGTATGATGTTAATCTGAAAATGGGATCATGTTCGCGTTATTTTTACAGACATCTATCTTTGTCATTAAATCATTTGACATGTTCGGTCGATCATTAACATTCACGCCGCAACTGGTCCCCACAAAATTTGTGATTCACACAATTAAAGGCTCACGTACCTGAGTTGTTGTCGAGTGAAAGGATACAAACCTAATGATTTCAAATTGAAAGAAAACAATTTTCATGATTAATTATGAAACTAAAACATCCACAATTTAGAAATATTAAATTGTTTTCGAATCTCTAAGTGTGACTCCAGACTTCATTTCCTCTGTTCCATCTCTCTGCTTCGCGATATAAGCGAAAGGAGATAAGCGGTCTACAGAACCATTTTTCTACACAGAAAATGAGAGGAAAAAGGACGTTCGTATTTGTGCGGTTGTTTTGGTATCGAAACGCAATGAACGCGATCCAGCGACCATGCAAAGCATGGCCATTTCGTCTTCTGAATGTAATCGTGATTAAAATATCTCCTCCGAAAAGCGCTGAATATCACAGCTGAACATCGTATCTATCTTAATATAACAGGGCTGAACTTGGAAGAGACATTAAAACACAATACATATTTTATTCCTCAATCACACTAATCACATCGCATTTCAATTTAACACATTATAACAATTGAAAAACTGTCCAAAAGAAACAAATCGCACCAGATGCACAGCAAACATGAAAAAAATCCGTAAAGTGTCGCCAGGAACGCGAAGTCAAACTGGATGAAATCTGTACCGAAAAATTAAGGAGGTATTCTTTTTCTATACAAATTACATACCATTATTTTTATGTACTGATGAAAAATGACGAAAAAATGTCCGTGTGAATGGAACTTTAATAATGTCTGCGAGTCACTCTTCGGGGACGCGTTGCACTCAAGACAACTAATCCGTAAATACAGAGAGTGGCGTATTTCTTTGTCCCGCAGATTCCGCCATTTTACATCCATCTGAATTCGAACCGTGCGATATTGTGAGAGTTGAGAAACACCAATCTATCCTATGCCCATATTAATATCATTGCAAATTTGCGAAAGGTCTTTGGCAGTTATCATTCCTCGTCGCCTGCTGAAGGATGCCTGACAGGGTTGCCAGATGAGAGTATATTAAAAGTAGAGTTACGTTCCTCTCCGTATCTCGGGACTTACAGGCCAACTTCCTCGTAGGCGCCGCGCACCACGCCCCCTGATCGGCGCTCGCTCCAAGACGGCAAACGCCACGCCCATCCACGTGCGCCACCGGTCGGAGAGGAGGAGGGAAACTAATGAACCAAGGAACAGAAAGACCTAAGAACAATCATTACAAGACAGTCCACCTTGTGAACCGACGCGGATAAGGTGGGGTCGTCGAACTTCAGAAAGTTGTGGATCCGATCCTTATCTCGACATCGGGTGACACCACATGGGTGAAGGTGAGATAGGGAAATTGGCAACACACTGCCAGGCCACTTGGAGCGCTAGTTGAAAGAATATCGAGCAATGATTGGTTAGTGGTTTTTGTTGTTTTTTTGTACGTCACATCCAGCCTGCATGTGATTTTCACATGGCAGAAGAGTGAATCATATGGCCGTTGGTTACGTTCATGAGTTCCTTTAGTGTTCTGTGTGTTCATGTGTGTGTTTCGCATTTCAAGATTTTTGTATTAGCAGACACAGTCGCAACAGTTTCGAGTTTTCTCGATTTTGATTTGCTGGTCTTAGGGGAATACAAGGATGTTTCGCAATATAGAGGTTAGCATTTAATGTAAAGTGTCATTCACGATTATTTGTATGAAATTTGTAGCCTACTGTATTCACATAACACTATAAGGAAAACATGTTTTTTTTGTTATGTAATGTAATGATTTATTATGATTTGTTATTTAATGTAATGTTTTTAAAGAATGTTCATGAATATTTGTATACAGTTCTAGAAAACAAATGGCCATTTAAATAATTTGGAGAGAAGGTTTTCCTCTAATTCCAAATCACCTGATGATACTTTTTGTTAAGTGCATTTATCCGAAGAACTTATTTTTAAAAAATGTGAACGTTTTTTAATATACAAATATGTAATAGAAAATATATAATATGTAATAGAAACATGAAAAACAGAAAATACAAACTAAAAGAAAATATACAAAAGGCCATGAAAAGGTGAAAAATTTAAATATTGATGTCTGTATTGAATATTGTTTAATATAAATTGTACAATAAAGGCAATTATTTATTTATATATTTGTTTATTCATTTTGATTCCTTAATTTCTGCCATTACCATAAAATTAGATGACTCTCCTCAGTTATGACCTTATCCAAGTGCATTACGAAAATAAATAATTAAAATATTTTTTTAAAAATTGCATTAGAATGTAGACTATTAATATCCATTAACTTTCGCGAAGACAATTGAATGAAATTAACTTTCATACGCTGCGCTGGGCGGGCGGGTTATGTAGTTCTTCGCCAGGCCACTTGGAGTGCTGCGAGCGACTTTGGTTTCCGACGTTTAACATTGAGGGTGCACTTCTATCCTTTATTGTTTTGTGGGTGACACCTCGGGTGACCGCTCGGTGCGATGGCACCCTTCAGTAAACGAAATGCGAATAGCACGCGAAGAGCGCAATTAAGAGCAGCCACCCTCTGGTGACGCGCTCCACGCAGCCGTCTTGTCGGCGCGGCGCCGCGACGTCGGTTAATTGGTTAAAGATTTCGGGCGCATCAACTGCGAATGTCAATATTCCCATAAGTATAGTGGGCGTTTTTATCGCGGCAGGTGGTATTAATCTTCCCCAGATGGATGGCGAGACCCGGCGCCGATCAACGCCCGTTTGCGGGGATTTTCCCTAACCAGGTATCTCCCATCATTGCGCTGGCAATCATTCTTATGATTCCTTCCAGCTAATTCTAATGCTATCATTCCTGACAATCATTCTAATGCTTCGTTCTCAGTCACTCCGTTTGCAGGCAAAATATAATGACTTTTAAAACACAGGATTATCATTAGGTTATTTTGGAGAAGAGAGGTCATAAGTATGAAATAAAATATACAAATATGAGCGACAGCATCGGCCAAGAAGAGCGTCAGGAAGAATAATTAGAAATACATATTCAATAAAGCAGACGATGCTTCAGTTACAGTGATTTCTAGCGTTTTAAAGCGTTTTACAGTGATTTAGAAAATAGGATTAGACGCCACAATATTAAATAGTCTATCTGAAATATTAGCAATGCTGACAAAGAACAATGAAAACGCAGAAGACACAGAAAAGAAGTAGAAGAAAAGAAGAAGATAAACAAGAAGAATAAAGTACAAAGATGGAGAATATGATTTGCAGAATAATAAAAGTATTTCGAAAGACAGTTTAATTCCAGTAGATCATTAGATGCAGTATAATTATATAGTGAATAAAAGTTGTTAAGCTGACATGTATTCATTCAAAATTTTAGTTCAAAATACATATATTTTGTGAATTTTGTACTTTTTTCTGTAGAATTATGTGTGGGTTGGTGTTTTAATGGGTGAGATATAGTAACACTTCATTACACTATATTCTTCACAATTTAAAGTTATTGATTTTGGCCACAAAAAAAGTATCGAGCACCATAGTGGCTCCGCCCCAGCTGGGACAAGTTCTAAGCTGCCGACTGTGTGTGGTAGTGTAGTGTATGCCAGTGTAAGTGTTGGTATGAAAGGGGTGAATATGACAAGAAAGAGGAAGGAACGTTCGCGACGATGTTCGATTGTTAGGGTACTGCATCAGCATTCTCCTGGAGTTCATCGAAAAAACATGGAAAACTACATATCAAAGTAGTCTGCAGCTACAATTCTCCTCCAGACAGCAACTTAATACGTCCTAGCTATCTAGCTAGTGTCAAAAATTCTGCCACCACCGTCTGAAACGAACTCAAGCCCTCCCGATCAGAGGCACTGCAATGACATCAGTTGATGCCTTGAGCGACCTTCACCGGCCCAGGACGTCGGGCACGTGACGTGCACACATGGGTGTACAAGTATGTGTACATGCCTTCTTGTAATTGTGTTTATGCATGCACATGTGTGTATTTATTCATACGTCTAAGTCTGTGTGCGTGCAGGTGTGTAAATGTGGATGCATGCATGCGTGTACGAGTATGATGCTTTAATGTGGTCCCATATTTATGAGACTGTGAATTCATACCTGTTTTCCTGTGAATATTTACATATGTGAGGTGCTAGTATACGTTTGCATGCATTTAAGCGTTTAATTGGAGTTCCTCTGCCGTTCCATCCAAATCATACATTTGGTGTCGCGATCGCCAAAGGAGGAACGCCCACAACGGTCAAAATATACACTCGGACAGGCCTTATGTGGGATATTTGTCGCATTGCCAATCGAGAGGACATAGTAGATGGGAACATTTTTTTTATTTGTGAAAGTTGCCGCCCTCAGAATTTAATCCTTTTTTATGTTAATGTAATCTGCACCTAATGAGAAAAGGAATGATGAATTATAATTCACGAAACTTGGTGAACTTTGTAATGAGTTTTAAATTTAACAGTCATTTATTTTCTGGGCTGGGGTTTTTTATTTTAAGCAGTTATTTTTTGCAAACGCAGAGTGACTTATCTCTCTCATAGATTGTGTAGCCGGGGGAAAAAATTGGAAGAATTCCATCGACATTTTTTAAAAAAAATCAGCTATTGAAGTTTCGCTCAAGGCTGTCCTGAGTTGACATTCAAATTGAATGCCAGGTTACTACGTGGAATTGAACGGGAGCTTTGCATCTGTTTTCATAACAATAAACAGTTTTGTGTTTTTATAAAAACAAACGAGATGAAAGAGAGGAAGGATCTTCTTTTTCCCATTCAATGTTTGAATATCAATAGTGTCCGCAGACAAAAACGTTTAGGGTATATGTATAGCTCAGCTGAATTCAGGTATCATCGGATTTCATGTGTTTGTGTATTGATAGTCATACATCAAAAGGATTTTCTTGAAATAAAGAGTTAGAGGAAATATAAGGTATTAATAATATTTCGTAAATCTTAATTACACTAATTTCTTCGGAATTGACTTAATGGCACAAAGTATACTCTAACATGCTATAACTACACCACAAATTGCTATTGTCCCTTTACGTGCATCCCCAGCAATGCTTCGCTGAAACAATAAAACTGTCCTAACCATTTTGAACCAGATATGACAGAGACGGTTGCATGTCCCGAATGTCAGAAACTCTTTGGGCCATCACAAACAGGAGCAAAGGCTGGAGAGCTCTGCCGCCTCCCCAGTGGCCCGCGCCAAGGAGG